CAAGAAATGATAATATAAGTGACAACATCTAATAATGACAGAAGGATTTTTTTGTTGAATTATTAACACAGTTAAGATATGATGAGATAAGGGATAGTGTTTTTAATATAAATTAAAAAGGTTAAAGCTCACACCTTTACATTTAGTATTTATTTATTTAAATTCAAATTTTACTTAATTAAAAGTCTTAGCAGTGAGTCATGGAGTTCCACAGGGTTCTGTGCTGGGACCAACATCTTTCTTATTGTACATGTTTCTCTTAGGCAGTAGAACGTTTTATAATTAGAACACACAGAAGACATTTCCCCTGGTATGCAGATGAGTTATACTTATCTATGAAGCCAGATGGCACAAATCAGTTAAACCATATTCATGGTAGGACATTCAAATTCACTCACTTGTGCCTCCCCTTCCTCTTGGACACAAGTAGCCTTGCCTAAAAACCCATCTTTGTAAACTAGCATCTCTGACTACTGTCTGTTGCGTCGTGTCACCACATCCTGTAGGGACACATATTATTAATAAAATCAGGGAAAATTGACCTTAATCTCGTCATTCTGCATTTTTGAGTCCACCTGTTCTTGTTGAGTTTAAAACACATCCCATGTCAGGATGATGGTTTCTTACTTCCAACTTAGATAAGTGTAATTCCCTATTATCAGGATTAAAATCTCTATCATTGGGTTTCTATGTGTCATTTTTTTTTCTTGCTATAAGGTCTCATCTTATCTTTAGATACTTACTTTCATAGTTGCACCATATAATTAAAATGAAACAGAAGGAAATTAATGTGCAACCACGAAAGAACAGGGTGAGACAAATGTCTCTGACAGTACAGTGCTCCAATGGGTGTGAGTCCCAACCTGGCTGGTAGTTGGGGGCTGGAGGGCTGTTTAATGGCGTTCTGTGTGGAGCTGCTGGTGGCACCTGGTTTGCACAGAGGAGATTACTAAAATGTGTGTGTGTGTGTGTGTGTGTGTGTGTGTGTGTGTGTGTGTGTGTGTGCAGGGTGAGTGATTGGTCCTGACAGCAGTCTCTGTATTGCTGGCTGGCCTGCAGATTTAGCCGACCTGTTTTAGACGCTCTAATCTGGATTAACTGCAGCAGTGTGTCAGTTGGGACGAGGACCGGAGCCTCCCCCACCCCCTGCCCCTTCACCTGCTTTTCCTCTCACTTCCCCTCCATCCACCCATCCATCTGTATGTGGGTCTTTTCTCCCCGCCTTCCATCCACCTGGATACCTGGCCTCTGTCTTCTTGACCATCTTTCTGAGCTTTAAGGCCTCGTTCAGCACACAAATCAGAAAATGTTCAGTTGCAAATATAAACGTTGGCTCACTTGACTCACTCGGAAAATGTCTCTGTAAGTCCTGTTTTGGGGGGAAGGGTAGGGATTAAACCAGCTCAGTCCTCTTCCCTATTTCCCTATTTGTTGTTGCAGCCGTAGGAAGAGCTGCCCCACTGATGAACAGAGAGCGCATTGCAGTGTTTGAACACCACTTTTATTTTAAACAAACATAAATCAGTCCGAAAAGATTAGCAGTGTTTAATAAAAAGAACATCACTATTGAACAACACCAACGGCCCTAAAAGAAAATAAAACAGAACGATTACATAGCTAAAAGTAAAACATTACTCTTTAATAAGTCATGATTTAACAACCTAATAAAACAACAACAAAGCTCGTCGAAGCCAGAACCCTATAAGCCTGTAAAGGTGCCTGTCAGTCACACATGTGCAGTATGATACACTCACTCCTGAGGATGATTCTTTCATCACTGGCAACAACCTGCTCCACAAGAACAGTTTGGGACTAACGCGACCCCA